AATTGTCATCGTCTGTTAAATTGACATTAGCACCATGCTCAAGTAATGTTCTCACAACCTCCAGGTATCCATTAGCAGCAGCCATATGAAGCTACAGATGAAAACAGAAAAAAATTACTATGAGGGCGATCACAATTGTACCAACCCCCCTATAGGCTATATTGACATCAATAAATGAAACCAAGAACATTTAGTGGGTTGACACAACAAATAATAGACTTTTATTACACAAAAAAGTATGTGATTTTGGGAAGAATCATAAAATATGACACAAGATTATTGGTAAAGAAAGAGGGGTCAATCTTACCATGAACTTGCAGATGTCTTAATTAGTGGTTGATATTGTATTCCTTGTGTATTTTATTGTTCCTTATATCCTTATTGTATTCTAATCTAGATCCCAGTGGGGATACAATATCAATAAAGGTTGTTATTATCATTATCCCATGATGTACCTTGGTCATTTGAGTTACATCATGACATAGGTACCTGAGTGGTTACTATGGCAACCCTGGCAATAGGCATCAGAAGTGCTGTTGTCATGGTACCATATGCTACTACAGCAAGGGACACTTGTTTACCCAAGCAAGGCTGCGCATGCTGCAATATGTGACAACCCTTTTGTGTTTTAGTGTGTAAAACAAATGTTGAAGGATGGAAGTGACAGTATTGATTGGTTAAGGGAGAGATTAGAAAGTGTACAGATAGTCAGATAGGAAACATACAAAAACTCAGATAATTATAAAGAAATCATAGGAAGCCAGCTAGTACGTGTGCGTTCACACTGCATAGCTGCTTAGCATGGGCTAAGGGGTCACAAATGTTTGCCCATGCTAATAAAAATTTTAACTTGCATGAATACTTAGTACGAGCTAAATCTGACTCATTTTTAAGACCCATCTAGACCCTTAGTACAGGGTAATGAAGTGTGTGTGAAAGCTTAGCCATTGTATTCAGTGTCCATTTGAAAGATTTACTATATTTCGGTATGCCATTTCACGAGCACATCCAGGGATATTGTTCTAAAAAAAAAATGAACAGACGATGCGACTCTTATCTCGTGACTTTGTGCTACTTTCTGTTATACTGCAATCCATACACTTTATGAATTTGCTTTGGTATTGTTTTATAATTGTTGAACTAACATGTACTATATATACGTTTTGTCGTTACTGAATGTCTATGTAGTCATAGTTACTAGTAACTTGGTGTAGCATAGGTCCATCCATGCTCTACGGAAGCAAGCCTGACAAGATCGCTATACACACTGATGCTCTACTTTTGAGTTTGAGTGCAGTCAACTAAAATACCCATGATGCTCTGCTTAATTTTCTTTTTTCTTTATTATGAATGCTATAATGTGAATATTTGTGAACATATTTGCCCACTCACGATTACTAAAAAAGAACCATGGCCCACTACTTGCATAAGTACAGAACAGTGATGGTTGGTACAATAAGTTATTTGAGGGGGGTGCAGCATGGAGCTCTATGTGTGTAGCTTGCTTACAGCACAGTTACTTAGTAACCGTGCTGTAAGCAGGCAGTGAATGACTTGTTTGTTTGTTTATGGTATTATAATGCAGGACATACTGGGTACTAATTAAGCTGTATTAGTGAGCCAAACTGCTAGATATGGTGTTAATAAAATGATGACAGATCAGTGTGGTAGTATAATCACAGTGGATAAACCTGCATGTTTTAATTAATATTGACTGATAATAAAGAGATAAACAACCAGAAGTGTGGAGGCAGTGTAATCCATGTGGTTAGGTTAATTAGATAAACAAAGATTAATTAATGGCTTGATAGGGATAATAAGATTGGCAATTAACTGTTGAAGTAGTTGCAATTGTAGCCAGGTGTATAGTTGAGTAAAGGCAATGTCCAGCATTATAATAATATGACCATAGACCATGGAGGTGCATAGACAGAGGGTCTATACCATGACCAAACAAC